GTAACGCACTCGATTTCTCATTAAGTGGTTCATTTCTCGGGTCAAGGGACTTCAGGGCAGGTCAGGGCAGGCGCCGAGGGTGCGAGCGAGGTCAAAAGGGGTCAGAAAGGTGGCCGGGGGGAGGGAAACAAGGGACGAGACAGAATTCGCTCAACTTGGCGCCAGCTGAGGCCAATGTAAAGCTTATAATTTTTTTCTGTTTTCCTCCTCTTCCTTTTCTGTTTTCCTCCTCTTCTTTTTCTGTTTTCCTCCGTAGACATTTTGGTAGATTTCACGTGGCGGGAGTGAAGGTGGGGATTTAGGTCGCCGCGAGTCTGTAAAAGAGGTTGAAAGAAAGTGCATAGCAGTCTATGGTAATGCTAGTGTTTATATTCAAACCTTACAAGTTTTGCTCGAGGAAAACGAAAGAGATAATTACCCTGCAGTTTCTATGCTTCCTGCTTTGTGGATTGAATGTGGTCGTGTTTTCTCCCATTTTTGTTTAGGCTTGAATGGTATTTCTGATCATTTAATTAGTAGTTGAGTGTGACAGGTTATTTCATAGTCCAGTTTTATGTTGTAGTTGGATAGATTAATCAGATTAATGTTTTGTTTTGTTTTTGTTTTTTCTCTCTCTTTTGATTGGAAATGTACTTACTTGATTGGCTAATACCTTTTTCAATATATGTAAAATGATGAAATGATTGTAGATAGCATAAGTGAACTTTTGTAATATGATTATATTGGCTGTAATTTATCCTGCGATCTGTGCTTTGAAAACTTGTGTACTCACTGAAGGACGTACTAGAATATGAATCTCAACAAAGTATTACTGGTAATTGTTTATGAAGTAACTTCAACCCTCTGACACTAAGTCCCTATTACAATCATCGGAGCACTTCCTTGAATCCACAAATGTCGCTGTATGAATCAGAATCCTTCCTTACCCACGGTCTTTGCTCCTGTACCCCCATCCTCTTGCTGGTTTTCCCCCAGTCGCCCACCAGATCAGCGTAGATGTATCAAAGCATGGTATTTATTGTGACCTATTTCCTTGATTTCTTACATTATTCTTTGCTTGCGCTGATTAACTAACGTAACCGTGAGTGGATTTTTCCCACTCATTATGACCACGTCATTTGTTTTTCCTAATGTGAGTACAGTCATTATATAATGATTACTGTATTTCTTTACGAGAGTGTCAAGTGATCACACACTGGAAAAGATAAACACCTCCACACACATATTCTGGCAAAATAGAAGTAAGACTTTTTCTTTTTATGATAAAGATTTTCTGTTTCACAGTGCCATATGGTACATGGTAAACTTTGCCTGTAAGAGACAGTGTAACAAAATTTAAGACCCTTTTTTTATCTGTGGCATTTGCCACTGTGCGACTCAAGTAATACTTTGGTATACATTTACATAATGATTGCATTGATATAGAGAAAGCCCAATGGCACCGTCATAAGGAGAGGGAAAACACTCGCTGATACATGAAAGCACAAGCAAAAAAAAGTATCAGAAATTTAAGAAAATAGGTCATAACAAATGTTGCTTGGAGACTAACCCCTTAAAGTTTGGCTGGGGGTTGGGGGGCAGATCCCGTGATGAGGAAATACGGTGATTGGATGAGTCTGGGAGCAAAGCCCCTGGGGTAGAAAATATTTCGGCAATGTTTGTAGAATCCTAGGACTACCCCCAAGGCTAGAAAAAGAGAGACTTAGTCTGCATCATAAACAATTACCAGTGCTTTCACTTGTATCCTGAGCTGGTTATTTGCAATGGAAAAGAACAGATTCACTCATTTTACTACAAGAATAATTCAAACAAAATGTAATGATTGCTAGGTTGGCTGGCTGTGTGAAACCAGAAAAATTGCTATGAAAAATTACCAAAGAGGTAAACAAGCAGTCTTCCCTGAATATACATGTTGGAGGTTGTTGCCCTTTGGTGAAGTGTTGACATTTGCATAGGTCTCACTAGGTAGGACAAGACGGTGGCAATAGCACAACCAGAAAAAATATATAAGCTACTAGATCTGTTTATAAAACCTTGTTTTCTAATAGTGATTAGTATAAGTGCACTAGTTGTATTTTGGCCATATTGGGCTTCAAGATCTCTCTTGCAATTTTATCTTTACATAAGAAAGCAGTCTGTCATTGCTGAGTCATGTATGGTGAAGGTTTTATAGGCTTTGCCAAGGGTACAAAGTGCCAAGGCCACCACACCTCTTTGAATTTTTATGCTGATGATTACTAGCCCGTTTTGAAAGCTACTGTAGATAGGCCAAATCAGTGAAGACAATTCTGTGAAAAGATAATTGTATCACAAGATTTTCTTTTCTTTTCTTTCTTTCTTTCTCTAAAACTCCTACAAACAAGATTTAGAATTCATTACATAGATTGATGTGGTCCAAATAATACCACTGTTCATTTTCAGTGCAAAGCTGTGTTTTTTGAGTAAGCAATCTATCTGTCATTCCTCATCCTACACCATTTAGGGACTCATGGGAAATCAAGGTATTTGATAGGAGAGAGGCAAAACATTTGTTTTCTCAGTATGATAATAAGTAATCTATGTAAATTAGATACAATATGCTCACCCACATGTCGTACCATGTGCATAGTGATTGCTGCTGCCTCCACCCCTCACAGTGCTACAGCTGTAAGGTCAACAAATATCCTCCACATATATGGCTTGCACTAGTTCAATAATAACAACAACAATTAGTTGATGATAAACTGCCTAGGTGTATCATTAGTGTATATCCCCCATCATCAATATGCATCCTGTACTCAAACCAACACAGTAGTCACACATCTTCAAAAAAAAGTCTAATTCCATGATGCCTTGTTTGTGATTGACCTGTTGTTCAAGGGTAGATTTCATTGACTATTTTCCATTAATGAATGGCCAAATGTTATTTTCTTCCAAGAGAGGATTCTTTTCTAGTAAAGTGCACAACTTACCCCATCCTTGATGGGATGACTTCCTATCACATCATTGTTGACTACTCCACACACTGGGAAGACATTTCTGCATCTTGTACAGTCAACCCTGCTCCATGCTGTATGTGCTAAACAGTTGTACACATGTTTGGCTTAAAACCTCTTTTCTTACCTCAGTTCTAAACGGTCATTTATGCTCCTCAAAAAGGCCAGGATAATTTTATTTCCCATATATCTAATAATTTCCCTTAATGGCAACCTGTGCACCCTGAAGTTAAGTAAAACCACATCAGTAGATAGTTTATCAGTGCATCATTGATTTGACTAATTTATTAATTCCAAATGTTGTCTTGTCGTGAAAGTCACATTGTCTGCACCAAATCTTTATTATAAAAATTTGTTTGAAATCATTATAAATAGACATTTTGTAAGACCAAATTATGACGGAAGACATAATTTAGCAAGTTTTATTGAGAATGAGGGCAGGTTATCCTGTTGCTTCTCTTACTCATTTCACTGTGTTGAATAGTTCATTAGACAGGCCAACTCTGACTGTCAAGGGAGACCAAATTAATAGTGGAGTGACCAGATGCAAAAGCTTTTCTCAAATAGATACATTTTTGGTAAGCTTTGGTGTTCCTACCTTGATATTGCTGTTGAAACAACCTGAAGACGGATTATCATCCATGTTATAGGACATAGGTGCACTATCTCAGGAATAGGGAAGCTATAGATAGAACATTGTACTGAGTAGTACCTAAGTTTTTTGTTGATAATGAAAATCTGTTGTTGATGACCTTTAAAATATGTCAAATGTTTTTTAGATACTTCAGTAAAAATATCAATCTAATTAGTTATTTGAATGTTTTTATTATTGTTTTTCTCGTTGCATAATAGGCAAACCACCACAGAACTGTATCATATTGCAAAGTAACTTTCAAAGCTAGGCCAGGAGACAGGCAGCCAAGTAGGAGTGAAGCATTGTGGTAGGACGGTAACCCATATGTAGCTCAGGAACTAGTGCAAATTAAGAATGGTGAAACTTTGGCATTTACAATCTCAAGTTAAGTGAGGGTTAGGTTAATTAGCTTTAGACATGGTTATTTAATGTCTTTTTTTTTTCTTTCTTTCTTTCTTTCTTTCTTTCTTTCTTTCTTTCTTTCTTTCTTTCTTTTCTTTTATTATCCCCCCCAAAAGTAAAATCTAGTATACTATATGGAATCCTCATGTTTTATATTAGAATTACACAGTAGTGCAGGACACTTTTTATTTTAGTGTCAAGGATGTAGTGAGAATTTTCAGTTTACAGAATGGCACATCAGACTAGCCTCATGCATTCCAGAGGGTACAAACCAGTTTTTTCCAGCTGACCCATACAAGGCCTTATCATAAATTCTGTTCCCTATTTCCTGTTTATGTAATTCTGTTTCATTTTGACCTGAATTGAACTCTAAACAACACGTTGCCAATCTGACATTGCAAAAAGAGAGATATTTAGGTGAATAGGCAAAAAAAAAAAGAAAAAAAAAAGAGTGTATTGGATGGGTTTGCAGATTTTGAATTATCAATGCTAATTATACCAGTTTTTGTTGTTCTCTCAGTACAGTGGTTTGTTCCTAGATTTCATTAGGGTGTCCGGGCAGTATGTAGTTAGTCTTTTTACTGTGTTTTCTATACTTTTATTGAGTCTATATTATATCCAGTTGTGTTCTTTCACTTCCTTACATATTTTTCACATTTTTCTTTGTACAAAAAGGCCAGTGTTTACATTTTTGTGGATTTCTCTTCTCTGTACTAAATCCTGTGAATAATTTGTTGAGGCCAAGAGTATATATGCCATGTACACTATCATTTTAGTTTATTAGTTTGTTTAAATGTATATGTATCTGCAAGTGTGTAGTTACCAACGAATTAATTTCTGGTCTAATTTGTTAACTCAATTCATTAAATTTTGGGGGGAAATGTATTTTGCTATTAGCATAGGTAACCCATTACCAGTAGAAACAGCTATAGCAGGTGTAAGATCTTTAAGCAATGAACCAAATATAGCTCTATCCGTCATGGATCACT